AACATACCATTTAGTGATAAAATCAAACACACATACATACACTTACCACAACTAATTAAACAAACACCAACTTACCATTTGCCAATGAAATAATAAATTAAACCAACAAGAACAAACCATTTGCCAATAAAATAATAAATTAAACAAACAACAACTTACCATTTGCCAATAAAATAATAAATTAAACCAACAAGAACAAACCATTTGCCAATAAAATCCACAAAATAATCAAACAACGACATATCATTTGGAAACAAAAAACTTTTCTTACAAAATCAATAGAACAAAAGGCATTTGGAACTGGATAAAAAAACAACCCAACAAAAACAAACAAACAAAAAAACAAACTTACCATTTAGCAATAATTTCACAAACTTATCTAACAAATAACAGCTTAATCATTTGGGAATAAAATCATAAAAAGAAACATACAAACCTACCATTTAGTGATAAAATCAAACAAACAAATACACAAACACTTACCATTTAGTGATAAAATCAAACAAACAAATACACAAACACTTACCATTTAGTGATAAAATCAAACAAACAAATACACAAACACTTACCATTTGGCAATAAAATCACAAAATTCTGCAGAGAACTGGTCAGTGGGCAGCTTGGGCGAGGCCTCCATGACCACCTGCTTGATCTGCTGGAAGGGAGACTCCCACTTGGAGTAGGGGAACTCTCCCGTCGCCAGCTCCATCTGGTAAGGGGGAGGGGGGGTCGGGTCGGGTTGGGGTAGACAGAGACAACAATTGTAATGAGCTTTAGTTTTTTAGTTTCAGTAAATGTTTCAGTTTTAGTAAGTGTTTTACGACACTCGTAACACAATAAGGCAAGATCACATAAGTGCCGAAGATTAGAGGTATTTCAAGAGAGTAACAAACACAAAAAAGAAGGAGGGGAAATAAAGACAATAGATGTTTGACAGGAAAGAAGAAGCAAACCACACCAGAGCATCCACCAACCACCTACTGGGTTGGGTTGGGGTGTGGTGGGGGGTACACAGAAAAAAAATAATTATGATGAGCTTTTTCTCTTATATCACTTTAAAAAAAAAGTTTTAGTAGAAATGTTTGTATGGTATAAGGTTTTACGGCGCTCGCAACTGCTAGTAGAAATGTTTAACGGTACTTGCAATACAAAGAGGTCAAATAAGAGCTGAAGATTAGAGATGTCACTAGAGACTAACACACAAAGAAAAGAAGTCGAGGCAAAATCTGAATAATTTCAGAAATCAAAATTTTCACATTTATTAAAAAAATTGGCACCTCTGAAAATCACACTTGACCAGGGAAATTTACAAAAACGGTAAGCAATTGACCTGAAGGAAGATTTACTGTCAGATGCAATAAAAAGCAAGTCTGATATCATTCCCAATATGGTATATAGCCGCTGTCACATGAGAAATAAGCAGTAAGTCCATTGTTCTAATTTTCCTGCAGGTCATGCAGACTTGCTCATTTTCGTAATAGTAGACAGTGGCGGTATCCATCAGCATTTAACACTGCGCCGTCACATCTCGCCGATCGGCGATGTTTACCACGCAGTTTTTTTGGATTTCCCCCAAAATGCCTTTGCCTTTGATGGCACGGGTTTTTACTATATGAGCCTTGTGATGGCACAGTGTTAAAATGTGAACAAATAAACACAAAATTCCCCTCCAACTAAAAGAAAAAAAAATGTATTAAATAAATCTTTAAGAAAAAAAGAAGAAAAACCCCCAAAAGCTCCCCGGGAAAGAGTGGGAGAACTTACCAGCGTAATACCCAGGCTCCACACGTCGGACTTGATGTCATAGCCGTTGCCAGTCTGGTCTGGGTTGATCCGTTCAGGCTACAGTCCACAGAGAGAGAGAGAGAGTGAGAGAGTGAAATAAAACATGGCTTTTTAAAAACATTACCTAGAATAGAGAAAATGAAATTGGAAAAACAGAAAAGAAAACTATGGTTTAGTTTTAGTTTTAGTAGGTGTTTTACGGCACTTGCAACACAATAAGGTCATATAAGTACCGAAGATTAGAACCCGGCCATGCAGCAAAAGATCTCTCACGTTGACACAAGGGCTTCTTTCTAATATTATTATTCACTAATCAGTCTTGAAAGTTCACCATTTTTCTTCAACACTGGAAAGTCTGTGAGAAGCAATACTACAATACTGGAAAACAGAATACATATTTTTCCCCCGATACAAAAACAGACCTCCACACTCAGACCCTCAAAAATGTATCAAATACATTTTTTACGCACTGGTTGGCAACTATGGCTATCTCTCTCTTTTTATTCCCCTCTCCCTCAACCCTTCCCCCCTCTCTCTCCCTCCCTCCCTCTCCCAACCCCCCCCCTCTCTCTACCTCTCTCTCCATCCCTCCTATTCCCTCTCTCTCTCCCCCCCCTCTCCCGTCCACTTACAGCCATGTAGGGCCTGCATCCAGCGTCTTTGGTTTTAGCAATGGAGTCCACCAGGTAGCCACTGATGCCAAAGTCACAGATCTTCACAGCACCGGCCTTGTTGATGAGTATGTTGGAGGGCTTCACGTCTCGGTGGATCACGTGCAGCTCTGTGTGCAGGTACTGTAGCGCCTGGACCACCTGCGGACCACACAACACAAGATGTTTTAGTTTTAGTAAGAGTTTTACGGCACTTGCAACACAGTAAGGTCATACACGTGCCGAAGATTAGTTTTAGTTTTAGCCAGAGTATTAAAAAAGTTTTAGTAGAGGTTTTACAGCGCTTGTAACTGCATAAGGTCATATGAGCGCCAAGGGGTGGATGTCAACAGACAAGTCCTTACAGGGAATCAGACTTACTCTTCTGATCTCTCTAGCTTCAACAGCACAGTCTTTTTAGTTTTAGTAAGTGTTTTATGGCACTTGCAACACAATAAGGTCATATAAGCGCCGAATAATAGAGGTGTTACAAGAGAGTAACAAACACAAAAAAGGAGGTGAGATCAGGACAACAGATGTTTGATAGGAAAGAAGGAGTAAACAACACCTACCAGTGGTATCACAAAAGCTTTACATACATACAAAAGAAGGAGCAGAGATAAAGATGATAGATGTTTTATAGGAAAGAAGGAAGAAACCACACCAGAGCACCTGCCAACCACCCATTCCACAGAGACGAAGTAAACAACAGACAACACTAAAACACCGACACACCATCCTTACATCCACTAACAAGCTATAAAGTCAGGGTATACAGAGCAAATCACCAGTGCGAAGAAGCGGACCAAACTGTGGAAAACAAACTCCAGCGGTGCAGAACACACAGTACCCCTAGACAACAAGGGAAATGTGGCCAACCCCATCGATATTACAAGAGAAGCTGTGAGGGCCGACAGAAGAACTGAGCAGGATGGCCCGGTATATGATAGACACCGGATATCTTCAACTGTGATGGGAGGAGGAGGAGGAGGAGG